CCTCCCCTTTTCTCTCTTTTTATCCCTTTTTGGTGTGCTCGTCCTCCATCCTCCTTTTCTAATTTTCTCATTTTGAGTGGGGATGTGAGTCTGAAGTGAGAAGGGGTGTCCGTGGGTATGAATTTCAGGTGGGTTTAGCTTCTTTGTGGCAAGCTTTTCTCAAGAGTGTCTTCTTCGCTTTCTCTTACACTCACACTTTCTCTCCTTGCTTTTCTCTCCTTTTTCCCTACCCCAAATAATTTCCCCTGTACCTGTCCATTCAGGTAACCTAAGGTGCCCTTTGCTACTCAGCCCAGGAAAAGTTTTATTGAGAATTATATGGCTGGAATAAAAACTCATCAAGGGGAGAGGTCCTGCTCTATTTTCGCATCTAGTTCCAATTCATTATATTTAGCAATTAGGACTTGGCAAATACCTGTTAATAATTACAAAACTTGGTCAGTTTCAGACCTACAAATTCGGGGGCAAGACTTTCTCTTAGACATGGCAGTTCATCCTCTCCCACCGAGAAGGCTGTTTTCTAAGCAGAAAGTTGTCTGTTTTTGTCTGCTTAGCGAGTTTCATTTCTTTATTTCATTCTTTGTGTGTGTATGTGTGTGAAGTAACACCTCACTTCTGTGATTATAAATAAAGAAGTGAAAGTCCTCATGGAACTTGAGTCGTTTACCAAAGTGGAGGGGGGGCACTACAGCTGGGAAGAAAACTGCTGTCAGGATATCAGGGTTTTAAATTAGGATAACTTTTAAAATTGTATTTTAAATGGCAAAGTAATATAGTCATGGATTTAATAGAAGACACATACACACATATATCCCATTCTATACTTTGGCACTGAAAAGTCGAGAGAGAGATAGCAGGAGTTCCCAGGAACAGTGATGAGCCCGGCTAACATGAATGTGTTTATCTCCCACCTACTGATATATTTTACATGCTCCCCCTGTAATGATGAAGGCAAGATTACTAACTCCAGACTTAGGAGTAACAGGCGAAGATAAAGTTTACAGCACAAAAGCCCTGTCTCTTTTACACACACATGCCCATAAAACTAGCAACTTACTTTATTAAACATGTATTTATATGCAGTCGTGTGTCTCAGGATGAATATAGACAGGCCAGCTGTTTCATCCCAGACACTTGTGTGACCATTTCTTTATTTCAGGATTTCCCCTAACAATTTCAAATCAATAAGGCAAGGAAAGAAATGATAAAATGTGTCAAACTTAAAAGTCTCCTACTATGTATGCCTACGTAAATTTAAGGTGCTTTCTAAAATATCCACTTCCCCTTCTCTCTGCCCCCCTCCCTTCACCCTTCTCAGCAAATGTGTGGAAACTGATACTCACTTTCCAGGTTTTCTGCAAAGCTTCTAGCACAGGAGACAATAGGTGCGGGGCGTGGGGACTGAGTGTGCCCGGCAGAGAAAGGGTTAATGGCCCTTGTGTTACAGTTTGCATCTGTTACATCTTTTATAGCCCCCTGTTTAAACTAATCCTCGAGGCACAGCATCTTCCCAACCTCCACCGAGTTTTCAGGATTCTCCTCCTCTCCTGCCTGCCTCCGAGGTTCCCCTTCTCCAAGTTTTGACAGTTTCAGCTGAAAAAATGCAGCGCCTCTCTCGATTTTTAGGTACAAAAGTTTCGAAGCCAGAAAGGATACGATCATTTAGTAGAGCTTAAAAGTATTGCCGTAGTGGTTGGACTTTCTCTTTCCTTTCTTAAGGGGGAAAAAAATCTACTGGAACTATTTCAGGGAACCAGTGTGGGGGAGCATGTGTGTGAGTGAAGTGGGGGGAAATACTGTAAATATTGTCAAAGTGGCGAGGGGGGGGTGGGGTAAAGGACAGTGTCCAAAGAGGCTTGTAATTATATTTCTTATTGCGGCGTAAAACGGGAAATCTTAATTTGGGGGCGAGGGTGGGGGGAGGAAGAGACAGTGCCTCGATAAACTCCAAAAGGGGAGGGGAGGGGGCGCTGGGCGAGTGGGCTTCCTATAATTACTATTATCAATTTGCCCGAGTGTGCTTCATCCAGGGGCTGTTTCGCGTTGTTTGTTTGTTTGTTTCCTCTGGGAAATGGGGGGTGTGGGGGGGGG